AAAAAAAGATAAATAAGAAAATAAAAATAGGAATAAAAAAAAAGAACAGTACAGGTATTAAAACTGAAGAGAATATGTCCTAAGTGTGACTTTGCAGAGGTAGGGAAGAAATTGAAACCCACTGTGCTAAATGAAACAAGGGGGTTAGTAATATTTTGTAGTTATTCTCCTGATAATCTTAATTTGGAAAACAAATAGCTATCTTTATGTTTATAGACACATTAAAGATACCTGAAAAGATACATACCAACATTTAATAGTGGTTGTTAGGGTGATGGGATTACAGGTGATTTTCCAGCCACGTGCTCTAGATTTTTTTTCTACATCATCTATTTTTATAATTTCTGTAGTACATATTTATAATTTTATGTTATGTTTTACTTTATAATCACTTAAAACACCTCTCCCTACATGGAAAAATTAGAAATTTTACCTTCGCTGAGAAAAAAAAAATTTTGGGAAAATATGGATGTTTTGAATTTAGGATATTTAAGTGCAGCTCTTAAACTGGACTTGGTTGTGAGAGAAAAAAGGCAACAATAGCTAACATCAGTTGAGACTTACTATGGGCTTAGCATTTTTGTATGATATCTCTTTCAATTCTCACACCCACCTTGTGAAGTGCTGCTAGTATTAAAATATCCATTGAGCAGGTAAAGGAGGAGAGGCTCTAAGAGATTAGGCAGTATATTCAAAGTCACACAGCTGGCAAGTGGCTGGGACTGGAACACATGTACACCAGGTTCCAGAGGCATACCCTTAATCCACACAATGCTGTGTTGCCCCTTTGTTTCAGAAAACATTGACCATGTTCTTGATGCACAAGCCCAAGGGTCACCAACATAATGAGAAGGAGGAAAGCAATGAGGGGGCTAAAAGGCAGCTTCTTTCTTTAAAACACAAGAGTAGTTCACTGAGGCCTCTCTGGAGCAATTCCAAAGGCATGGTTAGAGCAATCCTGGTGCTGCATGCACATCATTGGCAGGAGGATGGGGATGAGAAAGCAAAATGGGTTGCACCCAGCAGGACTTAACTGAGAACCTAGCTCAATTGCACTCAGCTAAGCAAATACCATTTCCGATGAATACATGGCAGACAACCTTGTTAATGACAAGAAGTACCACTCTACACCAGCTATTGAGCTTAGCATCACATAATAAATAGGAACCTCTCCTTCTATAGTGCTCGCACGGGGAAAGGGTGAGTCAACAACATGGGATATTAAAATACTAGGCACAAGATTAATGCTGAGCCCTCTGCAGCAAAATTAACAAATACTGCCATCCCCAGAGCACTGCTGCTGAGTTCCCAGTGCAAGAGAACCACATGCCGGAGAAGGCCAAACATTCCATAAATGCAGAGCTTTGTCTAAAGACTCTATTCCCCAATCCTGAGGGGAGAGGCCAGCAGACTGGCTGGCTTCCTTTGCTGGGTTGCTTGTTGATCTCATTTGCTTTTAACAAGCATGTTGCTGAAGAGCACAGGTTTTGGGGCCAGGTGCCCTGTGTGTGCAACCCTCTTCTCTCACTTTCTAGCAGTGTGATCTTGGGTGAGATATTTAACCTCCCTGTCTGTCAGGTTTCTCAATCATAAAGTAGGGGTAGCTATAGTACCTACCTCTTAGGGTTATTGGGGTGGTTAAATGAGTTAATTATGTACCTGGTAAATAGTAAGTGCTCATAATTGTCAGTTACTGTCTATCATAGTTCTCCAATGTGAAATTAAGAACAAATCTAAATAGATTTATAAAAGATCATCAGTTTGAGCCTAGCCACCTGAAATGTATTGTCCATTCAACATTGCAACTGGCTCCTTTGGATTTTGAAGATCAGTACTAATACAACCACCATCTTCTCTCAGCCTGAAGAGAATGTCTCCATTATCCATGTACATAGTTTTAAAATTGGGGAAAGAAGACAGCCTATTAGAGACATCCCCCCACCACCACCACCACCTCCAGCTCAGACTGAATTATGTTAGGCCTTGGTAAGGCCATAGCTGTGTGATACAAGGAGGAAAGATGGAAGCCACACCTGTAGAGCTATTTACCCACCTTTCTCACCACAAAGTTTATATTGTGCAGAACCAATTTGGAGCTATTACTTTGCTCCTCTGGGCCAGCAACTCCCTGGGATGATGAACTCAAACAGTATGCCTCTAGGCTCTGTTTCTTGAGAAACTGCTTATTCTGGTTCTGCACTTTCTTTAGGTCACTTTTTATGCTGGTTTCTTGATCCCATGTCAAGGTGGCATTTGCTAAAAGCAAGACAGTATCTGGATCTTCTGGTTGGGTGATGTAAGATGGGGGGCTTTTATCTATGAGAATTTTCTAAGATTAAAGAGACAAAATTAACTGGGCATACATTATCCATTTGCAAGAACCATCCCAATATATCTTCTAACGACCCAAAATCATAATCTTGGTAATTTTACTTAGGACATTCAGGGAAGATATTCTGAAGGTATTCCCCTAGGAGAAGCTGCAGCAGAAATAGTCTACTAGCTCATGCTATCTAGGACAGATGCCTCCTTAACCACAAGGTCTATGTGAGTCACCCACATTTGAGAATGCTAATCTCAGTTACATTTCTTCCTCATGCCCAAGGCAATAAACTTTTGCCAGTCTTTGGGTAGTGGGCTTCATTGCCTGGCACTAATGCTTATGAAACCAAGGTCACATGCTCAGCCTCTACTGTGTCTTCTTCCTAAGACCCCACTCAGTTCAGTTCAACAAAACATTTGCCAAGTGTCTACTCTCTGCCATTCTGGGATAAATGCAGAAATGCAACTATGAATAAGGCATGATTCCTATCCTTAAAGAGATTACAGTCTGAGGGAAGATGGGAACATACACAGACATTTCAGGGAAATGTGACAAGAACAAAACACTGCAACTTCTAGAGAAGGGAACTTGGCTCCCCATCCTGAGGGCCATGTATCAGTGCCTGAGCTGAGTCTGTAAAGGTGCTGTATAGGCAAAGATGAGGGAAGGAAGAGGAGATTTGCATTAGCAAAGGCAAGGAAGCATGCAACACCATGGTTTATTGGGGTGGGGCATGAAACAAGCAATTCAGGATTACCACAGCTCTCAAGATAGGGAAGGTATAGGAAATCAGGTGGAGACATAACTAAGGACCTGCTGATGGAAGGCTCAGTCTCAGTCCTGGAGGGAACAAGGACTCAAAGATTTCAAGCAACTGAATATCAGTGGTCAGACCAATATTTTAACAGCTCTCTGGGGGCTGAGGGTGATAGGGATTTGAGGAGAGCAACAATGGAAAAAGAAGATAGGTTCATTAAGTCACTGGGATGATTCAGATGAGAGATGATAAGGCCTTGAATGAAGGTGATGGCAGTAGGGACAGACCAAAAGTTGAGGAGTCAAGAAATAGCATTGTTCCTCTAGCCTAAGATATCTGATATAATATATACAATTAATGTGATGGTGTTCATGCTTGTGTTTTGTTCAAAAAGTGATGAGTCAACAGTGCTACCTTCCAAACCAATCTTACAAACAGCGCCTCTTAAAATTGAAGAAATACATGGGCGCCTGGGTGGCTCAGTTGGTTAGGCGACTGCCTTCGGCTCAGGTCATGATCCTGGAGTCCCTGGATCGAGTCCCGCATCGGGTTCCCTGCTCGGCAGGGAGCCTGCTTCTGCCTCTGACCCTCCCCCATCTCATGTGCTCTCTCTCTCTCTCATTCTCTCTGTCTCAAATAAATAGGTAAAATCTTTTAAAAAAAAAAATTGAAGAAATACAGTGAGTAGAAGATGACCCAACAGGGTTCTTGATTGGTTGAATGTGGATAGTAAGGGAGAAGAGGGATACAGCCACCTCAGATGCCTAAGATGACTTCCAGTTGCTGGCCTGAGTGAATAAAATCATTCAGTTAATTCACACATGTCTGGAACACCCTCCTCCTTTTCCTTCCCTTGCCTGAACTTCAAAACCACTTTATGTACAAGTCATGTATCCTTGCTGCATACATCAATTCCTGGGATACCTGGTCTTACACTAGACTGAAGGTTCTTGAGTGTAAAGACTCTCTCTTCCTCTTATTTGCATTTCCCACAATACCTTATATATAGGAAGCACACAGTATATCTCTGATGAATGACTGACTGAATGAATAAAGCAACTGAGTGCATAAATGTGGTGCCCCACTACCCTCTTCATCACTACCATCACCACGCCCATCATAGGACAAACCAAGTAGGTAAAGGGGAGGAGGATGGTTCAGTGAAAACTCAACCCCACTCCTGGAACAACTTAAGATTTATAGCTTGGAAAAAGAGTAGAGGTCAAGAACATCATCTCCATGTATGGAGATTCTATTTCATTTTTACTAAAAGGGCAGACCACCTTATAAAGCTCTGCTTGTACCCTCCTTGATGCACATTTATTGATCCAGCTCTGAATGCAGGGCCTTCTCCCAATGTTCTTCAAACCAGTGACCCAGCCCTCCAATGGGTTTACATAGCTTCCCCATATCTGAGAATTTTCCCACCCAAAAATGAGATCTCTCTTCCCTACTCACCCAGCATTAGTTATACCTTCATTCTCCTCAGAGAGACATTGGCTTCAGCCATTGCTTTGACAGAGAAAGGCAAGATTGCAATCGAAAACTTCATTACATTAAACATGGCAATCACACTAAATGCCTGAAGAACAAAAGAGAGGTATAGGGTTTAGGATGAGATATTGCCTTGGCTCTGAACAATTATATCCATGGGAATTATATTTGCTGGGATGAGAAATGATGGCACAGTTGGAATTCTTACAGGAACTTTTTTTTTTTTTTCATGGTTCACAAACCATGGGCTGGCAAATTAGGGATAGCAATGTCTTAATCTCTTTTGCTTTGAATTTTCATCAGAATGGTGGGATCATATGATACATGTCTTTCTCTGTTTGACTTATTTCACTCAACATAATACCCTCCAGTTCCATCCACGTCGTTGCAAATGGCAAGATCTCATTCCTTTTGATGGCTGCATAATATTCCATTGTATATATATACACCACCTCTTCTTTATCCATTCATCTGTCGATGGACATCTTGGCTCTTTCCACAGTTTGGCTATTGTGGACATTGCTGCTATAAACATCGGGGTGCATGTACCCTTTTGGATCCCTACTTTTGTGGATGGAACTGGAGGGTATTATGTTGAGTGAAATAAGTCAAACAGAGAAAGACATGTATCATATGATCTCACTGATATGAGGAATTCTTAATTGCAGGAAACAAACTGAGGGTTGCTGGAATGGGGGGTGGGGTGGGAGGGATGGGGTGACTGGGTGATAGACACTGGGGAGGGTACGTGCTCTGGTAAGCGCTGTGAATTGTGCAAGACTGTTGAATCTCAGATCTGTACCTCTGAAACAAATAATGCAAGATATGTTAAGAAAAAAAAAGAAGAAGAAGAAGGTAGCGGGAGGGGAAGAATGAAGCGGGGGAAATCGGAGGGGTAGACGAACCATGAGAGACGATGGACTCTGAAAAACAAACTGAGGGTTCTAGAGGGGAGGGAGGTGGGAGGATGGGTTAGCCTGGTGGTGGGTATTGAGGAAGGCACATTCTGCATGGAGCACTGGGTGTTATGCACAAACAATGAATCATGGAACACTTCATCTAAAACTAATGATGTAATGTATGGGGATTAACATAAGAATAAAAAAAAATGGTGGGAGATTTATCCCCTTTTCTTTGTCAGTCCAGAGAAGATAATGTCCAAGGAAGGCCTCTAACTGAACGTGTTTGGAAGTCTCCATCCACATCCTTACATGGCCTAGACCATTCACTCAAAACCCCATGGATTGTCCTAAATTATCCCCTTCTCCCAGTTGCTTCAGAGGTCTCTGACCCTTCAGATCTAGAGCATCCTTTTCCATACCATATTCAGCCCCAGGATGAAGACAGAAGATTCCTGGAGGGACGGGTTGGCCCATGCTGGCTGGTGGAGAGTGACTTCTGGCTCTCCTGCCCCCGGGGTCTAGCCACCACCCCTTGCCTCACCACATGCCTGAGACTAATTTGAAAGCCTCTGTTCAACTGCCATTCCCAAAAAATCACCCCCCCTCCTTACTGGGGCTTTTCTCACTGAACCCTGCCTGTTAGGTGGTTAACATCATACAGCCTCAATGAAGATAAGTTTCCTTGCTCCATCGGTGCCCCAGGGGTGCATGATTTCATCTCTCAGATTTCATCTTCTCATCTGTCCGACTTGTAATTAGCAGCTTCTCCCTAAGCACCCATTTAAGAAATTAATAACACAATTTCCATCAACAAATCCAGAGCGATCCTTCCTGCTGTTGAATAGGCCCCATGGACAAAGCCCTGGGCTTCAACTAACCCTCATTAGTTCGGTAAGGGGACAATGAAGAATGCTGCCTTCATCACATCTGGTCCCAAATCCATCCCCAAAGAGAACTCAGCTCCCCCAGGTCCCCAGGCACGATCTTGGCTCAGAAAACCCAGGCCTTGGTTGACAGAGCACTCAGGCTTCCTGATGTGAGCCAGCACCTGGGGCTGACCTCCTACTGATGTGGCCCTGACAGAGAAGCCAAGGGATTCCAAATCTGAAGAAATATGTGCCTTGCATTCAGGGGAATTTGTTCTTGGTCTACATTTCTTCTAAATCATCATTTTAGAAAATATTAACCATGTGTACTCAATTCGGTTTTAAATTTGCTTGGTGTGTTGCTGGGGAAAGAATGTTTTGTTGTCGTTTGGGATCACAGAACACAGTCACAATAATTGAGAAGCATTCTGTTGAGGCTTTGGTATGTCATTGCCATTCATTCTGGCTTTGGGTTCATGGCTGAATTCAAGCCCCCAGAGTGTGTGAGTAAACTGCATGTGAAGAACCCAAGAAAATAAAAAGCACATCACAAAGAAACACAGGGAAGTAACAGGACTGACAGCCTCACAACAGATGCCCCCCCCACCCCACCGCAAAAGCATCCTGCCTTCTCACACATCCCCCTTCCCTTCAAGATCTGTGATTTTTGGTGCAACTATTGCTCTTCAAGCATACTTGCTTATTTTGTTCTCTCTCTCTCTCTCTCTTTTTTTTTCTTGCTTTTATTGACTTTCCTCCATTCACTTACCCTTCAGACACTGGGTTTAATATCTCAGCTGTTTGTTTATTTCAGCCAGGGGCTGTTTCTGATCTAGCCCAGAGTTTCTTTACCTTTGAGTGCACAGGCCCCCTTATAAAAAAACCTGAGCATCTCACATTCATTCTAATTCTCCCTCAGAGGCTTTCAGCCCAAAATCTCCTGGCCTGGGTGAGCATCAGGCTAATAAGAACAACAAACACTTACACAGCATTTACAACGTACCAGGCGCTGTTCCACGTGCCTTACATAAAAGAACTCCTTCAGTCCTCACAACCACAGGGACTATCATAACCCCATTTATAGATAATAAAACCAAGCAAGAGAGGTTCAATGAATTGCCTTCCATCATTGTAAAGTACCAGAGTTGGGATTTAAAAAAGGGGTATTCTGACCCTAGCATCTCCCAGTACCTACAACTCCTCCCACCCCACCCAGAGAACTCCCACAAACTCTGCTTCTTGTAAAGCATATGAATAATTGTGACTAAAACAGCCAAGTGCTCATCTGATTTCAGTTTTGTTTTCCAAATGTCAAACTGTGTTCCAACATTAAACACTACCCCTGCACTGACATAGACTGGATAAGAGTCACTGTTAGGCTCTCCTGGGCTCCTTGTCAGCCCAAGCACTTGTTTTTAAAAGTCAAGATAGAATTCTGGCCCTTCTGTGATTGGGTATTCTGGTGCCAATGCTGGGCCTTTGCAAGCAGGGAGAAACTTCCCACCTGGCACTTGCCAGTGTTGGAGTGTGAAGGAGGCCAGTTCTAGAGATGGTTCTTACCACCGGGGCGGTGAGCCTGCGTCTCAGGAGGATGTGGCAGGTGAATGTCAATACAATGGCTATTGTAGATGCAATGGGGGCCAGGGCTGAGTTTCCACTTTGGACAAATCCAGCTTTTTCCAGTAATTTCCTTTCCCTCTTCCTTATATCTGTAAATAGAAAATAGTCCATGATGGATTTATTTTTGCAGCACTAAGAAATGTATTTACCCTTATCTTATCCTCCTGCAAAAGAGTATTAAGGATTCCTGTTGTGAAGTTTAAATGAAAGGAAGCACAGAAAGTCCTGGGCACAAACTGGGAGCTCAGTGCATGTCAGCTGCCATACTAGATGGTTTCTGAGGTCTCTTCCAAACCTGATTCTCTGTGTCAAGAGTCATACACTTGGATGCCTACAGAAGCCAGCCAAGTAATGTAAATGAAGGGAGTGAGCAGAGAGTAAGACCAGAGGGAGAGTGTGGAGTATAGCAAAATGGGGACCACATGCCTCAGTGAAAGGGGCCTCCACCTCTCAGTGAAGGGCAGCTCAGGATCACCAGACTTTCAACTGTTCTGAAGTCTGGGATCTGGAATTTTGTGGGACATCTTTCTACTTGTAAATGTTGGGAACTAATTGAAAAAAGTTTTTAAACTGTAAAACCAAACAAAACGCATGTGACAAACCTGAAGACTGCCAGATTGGGGTTCTTGTCTTTTGTCCCAGGTACAACTACCAAAGCCCAAGAGCATTTATCCCTTTCATAAGTCCAGATGGGGTCCGTGCGTTTGCACTGTTCAAAAGTTAAATTCAAGCCTCCTTCTCCTGGTGTTTAAAGTTCTTCACTCCAATTCCAGCCTCTTCTGCAAAAACCCTTTCACCCTGGCAACATGGGGCCATTGCCATTCTTACTTAGTGCTCCGGGGAGCACTGCACAAGGCTCTCATTTGATCACTCTCATCACTGTGTGACAAGGGAGAGGCTATCATTATCCTCTCTGGCAGGACAGGAAAGTCATCACAGATTAAGTAACTTGCTTTTTAAGTGGTCATGGCAGAGTTGGAACCCAGTTCTATGGCAGTCCAAAGCTCAGCTGTCCACATGCCCTTTGCCTCTAGGATACCACCCACCTCCTTGTCCCCAAGCACACTCTCACATACCCACCTCTAGGCCTTTGTTCCTGCTGGGGGTCTTCCCCAGCTCTGTCTGTGTCTGAATCCTTGCTATCCTTGAAGGCCTTTCTAAAATGCCACTTCTGCCATGATCCTCTTTCTGATCTCTCCAATGTGATGTGCTCACCCTCTCACCCTCCTAGAACTTCTCTTCATTTCCTTTGTGGCATTTTCCCCATTTCACCCTACAGTTATTTCATGTGTTCACTCATTCAACAAATTTTAACCTGATGTCTACTATTGGCCAGGTGCTGTGCTTGGTGTTGGACAATATAGGAATAAACAGAGTCTCAGCTCTCTTTCCATAGGGGAGATAGACAATAAAGAAATAAACAACAAATTCTATCATTACAAATTTGTTGGATGATATGAAAGAAATGAACAGGGTGAAATGATTAAAAGGAACTGGTATAGAATGGACCTGCTTAGTACTATAGTCAGGAAGGCCTCTTTGAGTCAGCAACATTGAGAAGAGTTACAAAGTCACCATGAACATCTAGCACAAGAGCATTTCAGGCAGAGGGAACAGCAACTGCAGAGATCCTGAGGCATGAATGAGCATGGATGTTGTTCTAAAAAAAGACAGAAGGTTCCATGGCCCAAGCGAGTTATCAAGGGTTAAGACAAGCTGTGATGAGATCAGAGAGGTCTTCAGGGGTCAGATCATGTTGGATAATAGGCCATATAAAGGAATTTGGATTTAAATATTTTATTTATTTATTTGAGAGAGAGAGAGAACAAGCAGGCGGAGGGGCAGAGAGAGAGGGAGAAACAGATTCACTACTGATCAGGGAGCCCGATGCGGGGCTCAATCCCAGGGACTTTGGGATCATGACCTGAGCCAAAGGCAGACACTTAACTGATTGAGCTACACAGGCGCCCCAGGAATTTGGATTTAAATCAAAAGCCCTAAATTGGAATAATCTAAGTGTGATAAGAAGCCACTAAAGATTTTTCAGCAGGGAAGGACAGGATCTGATTGACATTTTTAAAAGGTCACAGTGGTTTCTGAGTACGTAATGGATTTTATGTATGGGAAGGAAGAAAGCAAGTGTTGCATCTAGAAGTTCTTTCCATAGTCCAGAAGGGAGAGAATATTGGCTTGCACTAGGGTGGCAACAGAATGAAGAGCAGCAGATTCCAGATGTATTCTAGAGGTAGAGCCAACAAACTTATAGCTATTGTTGAGCTTAGTTAACTCATTGTCCCTTCATCTTAGAAGCAGGGACCTTTCTCTAATCATTTTACACAGCTCCCATGACCTGGCACATAGTAGGAAGTTGATAAATATGTATTGAGTTAAACTGACTCGAATTAAATTGAGTTGAATTAAACTGAACTAAATCAAATGGAATCAAGTTTAATCAAATCATTGAACTAAAGTGAGTTCAATGCGTGAGGAAGTATTTCTGGGTCTTCAAGGAAGGTTCCAAAAGGTTGCCAGTGTCCCAACCTGCAGCACTTCCTTTGGCAAGCTCAGAAGCAAGTTTTCTAAAGCCACTTCCTAAAACACAGATACACAGCTTCAGGCCCAATTACATGCTGATCTAAAAGTGTAATTGTGGATCCAGAGAGTCAATTGTAACAGTGGTTCGGATCAGTAACCGGCCAATCACCTGAGTCTATGTCAGCAATTATGTAAATGTTCCTGCAATTAGATTTGCATTTATACTTGATTGTAATGGTTTTAATATCATTTTTTAAAGCTATGTATGTGTCCTCATATCTGTGTAAGGAATGTCAAGTCAGGGGGTCATGCAATCATGATGAGGTTGCTGCAGGCAAGGAGATATATATGTTAAGTGTGAGTGTGTGCCTGTATATGTGTAGACATCTTCTAAGTCAAGGAAATAGCTTGAGATAGCTCTTCTTCTCATAATATTTTCATGGATTATTTTTGCAAAAGGTAACCAGTCAGTACCAGCATCCACATGCCTTCATAAAGTCTAAACCATATGTTGCTCACCTGCTAAGCATTTGGGTTCACCAGAACAGATGCCTGGGTCTATTAAAATCTCTGCAATCCTTTGAAAAACCTGAAAAGCAGCTCAGGGGGTCCCTACAACTCCCTTTCTGGAATGCCTGGCCCCAGGAACCTTAAGAACCCCCTAGAAGAGCACATTCTACAGGGTAAGTTGTTCTTCAAGCACTTGCACATCCTACCTTGAATGGTACTGGTAAAAGATTTCTCCCAGGCATACATTTTAATCAGCTTGATGCTGGTCAGAAACTCATTCATTGTCTGAACTCGCTTGTCTGTCACCAAAATTGCTGATCTTCGGAAAGCTGAATTGAGCTTAGCCATAAACATCTGAAATCAAGGTACAAACAGTGTTCAGAGAGAATTGCTGAGTTGCAGTTGGCCTAAAAATCCAGGGATCGGAGTATAAGTGCCAGGAAAAATTCTAAGGGAAGCTGGACTGAGATTCTCAGCCATCCTTCCCTTAAGTTGTGGCAGCCAGTGTGGACCAGGGGACACCACTGGGGATCAGGCAGATGATACAAATACATGAGTTGCTAGGATGCAAAGAGAATGTTAAAAACTTTGACAAACTGAAAAGCATGCCTCCCTCCCCCAGGGCATTCAAATTCAAATTCTTAAAAAAAAATACACTGTGCCAACAAAAGAAAGCACATTTGGGAGCACAAAGTGGGGGCACAGGCTTCAGTTCCCTGCCCTGGAAATGAAACCTTCTATCCAGTTCAGCAAAAACATGTGTGCAAAATGCAAGCATACAGCAGTTACAATTGCAAAGACCTGCCATTACCTGGATGGGGATGAATATGATGTAAACAGATATCCCAATGAGAGCTGTGGGTCCCAGAATGAAAAAGGCATACACTGCACAAACAGCCATTAGGATAGGGATGGTGGCTGGCAAGGGACAAAACAAGGCAGCTTCAAACAAGGAATAACTATCACTTGATAGTATATTGAGCACCTGGAAAGAAAGCACATGGATTCAGGCTTTGGAAGCGTCACCCAAACATCTCCTCAACTGAGGAGAGGAGAGAAAACACTGCCTTAAGGGGAAGGGGTATTGTCAAGGGACCAACATGACGAATTTTGTGGCTCTCACGCTGATCTGATTTTGGAGAGGCCAGTATTTTAAGACTGAGAATCCCAATGAAGAAAGACGTCAAGAGTAATTAATATTATCATCTAAGAGCATGCTGGAGAGATGGCTAGCTTTTTTTACCATCTACCTTTTATCTATCTCTCCTTCTTCCTGCTTTATTCAGAGCAGCAACATACCCAGCTAAAAAACTACATTTTTTAGCCTCCTTTGTGGAAAGAGTATGGCCATGTGACTATGTCAAGGGCAATGAGATAGATATAAGCCAAAAATGTCAAATGGGAGTTTGGAAATGCATTCTTAACGGGAGTCAACTCAGCTTAGAGAACATACACCTTTATTCTTTTCTCCTTCCTTTTACCAGCTATCTGAAACATGACTGAAATGGCTGGACCTCCAGCATCCATCCTGAACTATTTTGGGAGCCAAGCACTAGGATAGTGACAAAGAAAGGTAGGAAGATCCAGAAGTCCCCATACCAGCCCTGAATAGCTCTCTTCCAGACTCCTTTTGCAAAAAGTGGAATAAATTCATCTTGCTTAATCTACTGTTATTTTGAATTTTCTTGTTCTATGCAGCCGAGTTCATCTTAACTGATACAGGATGCTTTGGACATAATGAAAGAGCAACTGTAAGAAAGAGGCAAGTCTTCCCCCTTGCCTCACTGGAATTCCCTTGACTAGGGAAATTTTATTGTGTAAATGATGAGGATTTTATTGCTAAGGTTCAAGGGCTTAAGAAAATATAAATTCAGTCAGTTAAGGGAATGTTGGGTGGCTCAGTCAGTTAAGCGTCCCACTCTTGTTTTTGGCTCAGGTAATGATCTCAGGGTCGTGAGATCAAGCCCCATGTTGGGCTCTGCATTGGGTGTGGAGCCTGCTTGAGATTCTCTCTCTCCTTCTGCCCCTCCCCCCACCATCTCTCTTTCTCCCTCTCTAAAGAAAGAAAAGAAAAGAAAAAAAGAAAAAAGAAAGAAAATATAAATTCTGAAGTCCAGTAGGCATAGTCTTTATTATGGCTTTAGCACCCCAAACTCTACACAGAGTTATTGGATCAATTCCTCACTCATTTTTTAAATGCCTGTGGTATATTCCATAGTGCCTCAGTGTCCCTTTTGACAATCAAAGGGATTGAATGAGGTCACCCCCAAGCCCTGACTCAGCTGGAACAGGAAAACATTTCCAAATTCTTCAGCTTGAATGGAGCCCTCCTTTCACTGAATTCCTCTGATGTTTTGAGTCTCCATCACCTCATTTAGCAGGGAGATGGGCTATAATGGGCAGGACAGTGGACAAATAAAAGGAAGGCATATGCACCAACCAGGAAGCACATCTCAATCATATTCAGAAAACTCAGGATTTAATTTCCTAAATTAAACCCTGGACCAGCTTACCTCGCCAACAGAGATGTGTGCCAGTGTCTTGAAGGACACCAGGTTTTCGAAAACCAGGGTGGAGACAGCCACCTTCAACCGGATTGCTGTGCGGTAATTTATAGCCCAGGCAAGAGCCCAAAAGAGCACTTTGGTAAACTCAGTAGCAAAAAGTGCTATGCACAGGCCAATGCCAACCCAGACATTCCTAGAAATGCTCTCGGTCTGTTGGAGGATTTGGTGAATGAGAACCGTCTGTAAAACAGCACAATGGAGAGAGGAGAGGGCCCCCGGGGGTTGAGGTTGGTATAGGAAGCCTCAGATAATGCCGGCAAGCTGACTTTATGAGGCAAACTTTTTAATTAATTTCAGTGGCAGCTGCTGTGCTTGACAAGGATTAGCTTTATGAAAATTTGCCCCCAAGGAGCTCAAAGATAATGACAATGTACTAAACCCACCAGCTCGTAGAGAAAGTAACTAATGACATTCTTTGCCAGTCTGGGGACCTGTTTGACAAGGCAGGAGAAGGGCCACCCTCACTCACCGGCCCTATGGCTGCCATGATAATGCACAGGATATTGGCCACAATATCCATCAAAACACGTGTCCTCTGGAATTTCCAGACCACTCGGCCCAGAGAGGCTTTCTCAGGACCCATACTTTCTACCTCTTCATCCCAAAGGATTCGAAATCTGTGATGAAAGAACAGGAAGAAGGAACAAAAGGGACTTACATTTCCACTTGCTATTTGAAGCTACTTCGATGGACAAACCTCCCAAGGGTGCTCAGCACAACCCTCATCTCTGGCAGTGGTGGCTCCACACAAGCAGCACTGATTTTCTTTTCTTCTTTTCCAGGGCAGATGGGATATGGGAGGGACAGGAGGGCAAAGCCTTGGCACAAGCACCAGCTGGTACCTGGTACTTGGGCACTTTCCAGGCTTTCATTTCCTGCTCCTACTGCCCATCTCTGGCACAATACCAGTTCTGATAAAAAAGACAGAGGCAACAGAGAAATGACGAGAGTAATCTTCCCCAGGGTGAGGAGGAGTTTGTCCATTTCAAAGATCTGAAAGAAGGCCAGCGTGACAGGAGTGTGATGAAGGAGAAGAAGAGCTGACATGACACTGGGAGGAGAGGCAAAACCAAATCCTGTGGGACCTCATGGGTCTCAGGAAGGAGTTTAGGTTTATTTTCTCAAGCAAAGAAAGCCATTGCAGGTTTTTAAGCTGAAGTGATAAGATCATTTTACATAGCTAAAAGAACATTCAGGTTGCTGTGAGAATAGTGGATTATAGGGGGAACAAAGGCAAAAGCAGGGGGACCACAGCAGGAGACTGTTGACATCCAGGGGAGAAGTGGCAATGGTTTGACACTGGATTTAAGGGAAGTACATTTCAGGAAGGATGGACAGGGGCGTACTGATGAAGTAGACGTGAAAGAAAAGGGAAGGAGGATAAAGGACCCCAATTTTCTGGCTCAACCAAATGTGTGAATGGAGTTTGTCAAGAAGAGGAGAAGAGCATCATCAGGTTGGGGCCCAGGATCAAGAAAGTAGCTTCAGATATAAGATGCTTGTGAGTCATCCAAGTCCAGCTGTCCAGTTGGATGCAGGGCATATGAATTCAGAGTCTGGAAGAGAGGCATGGACCAAAGTGGCATGTTATTAAAAGGTTGTGTTTGGTGTTGAGTCTTTGCAATGGATAAGCTCACCTAGGAATAGGCATAGCATGGAAGGGAAGAGGATCCAAGTTGATGTTGGGTAGATGGAAGGAAACATTAAAAATAGAAAGAGAAGTTTGGACCAGAGAAGTAGAAAGAAAATCCAATACTCCACGGGCACTTGTCCAGCCTCTTCTCTCTGATCTCACTGGCAACTTTCTCTGGATTGTAGATTTGGGAAATTACCATTGAATGAGATATCTGCAGCACATGGGTGAGGGGAAGCACAGTTGTAGAAACAATTGCAAGACCATGATTAAAACTCCCAGCCCTTTAAGCACATACTCCAGGCTATGCCTTGCACTTTACCCCATGTGGCCAAAGATAAGACTCCCAAAAGAAAGAAGTGCAGAAAAGGCTTAGGGAAGTTCCACATTGTTTAAGACATGATTCATCACAACCTCAAAGGTCAAAGCAGCTGGTAGAAAGAATGAAGTTAATGTCTTTATCCTTATGCTGACACGGAAAAGTCTATAAATGCTTACTGAAAATAGCAAAATGGTTAACCATTCTATAGTATGATTCACTTTGTTTAAAGAAAAAAAAATATGACATGTAAGTGGGAGGAAGAAGAGTTACTGATCTGCAGAAGATGGTACCACAGGATATGCTTAATTAGAGTAGAAAAAATTCTAGACATATCAAGACCCACATTTAGCAATGCTGACCTCTGCGGAGCAGAGCAAGAGTACAGTGGGGATGCTCCCATGGCCTAAATGTCTGTTGCTTTAACATTTTTAGAATGAATATGAATTATGTTGAACCAATAAATTTACATTTTTTGCAAGTCAAAATTTTCAAATATTGGCAGTTTCATTTGGTTCAACCTAAATGTATTTGGCAATGTAAAAGCCCAATGATGATTTTTAAAGTAAAACAAACATGATGCCTGGAGCTGCACTAGCAGCAGCCCGGGTGAGTCTGGCCAGCACAGTGTAAAGTGAAATGCTGGCCACCTTCGTCCTGATGTAGAGCTCCTACAAACCAGTGACAGCCCAGCCAGCATGCTCCTGAGCCTCAGGCTATAGCTCACAAGCAGTCCTTTTTCCACACCAACTCTCCCCAGTCCTCACCTCCCCAGAGACTGGGCCAGCAATTTCAGTCAGCTCAACCCACGTTTCAGAGAACAGCCATCAACGAGGGCCCCCAAGGGCCTGGAGGTGTCCATTTCCACACCCGGGAAAGGGGAGCACTCAAAGGGCTCATGGGCCCCTGCACAGGGTGGGCTCCTCTCCTGAGATGACCCAAGGGAATCCTGGTACCTTTTGGCATTGGTGTCCGATGAGTCATATGGTGACAGCGGGGGCAGGGTATCCACAGTCAGTGTGCGCTTGTAGCCCCTAACCATCACTGGTGTGAGCCAGGAAAATGTAGCAAAGGAGAGCAGTCCCGCATCATCCACAGGGTTGGGTGCCAGCCTAAGACAAATGAGACACTCTGTCTTCCAGGGCATAGTGGTCATTGCCCTGAATCCCTGACTTGAGTTCTTAATTGTAGTAAAAACCACAGCCACACTTTGAAGCTGTGAGTCCCACCTGTTAGCCCTTTGAGCAATGGTGTGTGCTGGGACCAGCTCATATCAGCTTGTGAGCGCTGATTGTAAAATTTTCAAGAGTTTTGCAAGTTAGTTGCTAAACATGGCCAGTATTAAAAGTTACATAATTTTAAATAAATCATCTTAAGGACAAAGGTAATAAGCACTTGAAACTCATCACTTCCTAATTATTTTACTAGATTTTGCTAGTATCTATGGTCTTTAGATTATGTAAATCTGTTGCATCTATATGGTAGAAATACCATATAATAGGGTGCTACTGTGCATCTCTTCCCAACAGTATTCAGTGACATCACACTGACTTGAAATAGGCCATGGTAGGCCATAAGAGCTGATAAATGTTACAAACCATGGAATTTTTTTTAGTGAGCCAGTGTTCAAGCCTCATGACCATCCCATGGGAAAGAGGACACCTGACCCATTTGTCATGAGGAAATGAAGACCTAGAAGCTGATTATCAGAGGAGTGAGGTGCATGTGTTGTGCTCTCGGGAGGATGAGGAAGGTGCAGAGCAGGACATGCCACCATGGGGGGCAGGGGGCGGTGGCGCTGGGGAAGCTACCTAAGCAGGCACATACTGGCGGCAAACTCGTGGTTCTGCAGATCAGGAGGATGGAATGAATTAAAATATTTAAAGTGCTCTGGCTACATAAATATTAGCTAGCAGATAAAAAAAAGAAGATGGAGAAGGGGAAAGGGAGGAGGAGAAAGAAGAAATGGAGAGGAGCAGGAGGAAAAAGAGGACAAAGAAGTAAAAAGAGGAGGAGGAGAAAGAGTAAACAGTCGAAGAGAAGGAGGAGAACAAAAGAAAGAAGAGGAAGAGGAAATGAAGGAGGAAAAGACCTTGGTTTTGCCCTTGAGAAATTAATCATCTAAGACAGAATAAAGTCAGAGACATGGAGTAATATCTACTGATTACTAAGTCATTAGTATATTCTGGACCCTGTAAGAGCTTTATATTTGTAGCAGATGCTGTCAGGATGCCCTGGGTCACAGACTCTTGGCTCAAGCTGACAGCATCCCAACTCGAATGAGAGCTATGCCTCTTTTCACCACCAGTTTCGGTGCCTTCTCAGGAGCATAAGTGCAGCACAGAACTGCAGGGTGCTGATGCCTCCAGGAGCAAATCTTAGCAAATGGAGTATAGGAGCCCTTGGATAAATGCACCCCCCTCATCCTTTGGGTGGAAAATTTTACACTTTCACAGGAGGACCTAGTAGAATCCACTCCCCATTCCTACAGCAGTGACACTGATGACACCATGTTGTCCTTCCCTGACCCACTTCCCCTAAATCCTCCCTCCTGCTTCCTGGGATCACTTCCTAAATGAGCTACCTGCATCCAAGTTCTCAACTCACATTCTGCTTTTGGAGAACTCAAGCTAAGAGAAAATTAACAATGTACTATGTACCTGGCACATGGTAAAATTTTCTAAAAGGTGGCTTTTATGATAAAGTCATACTTACCTCATAGAATTATTACAACAAATCAGAGGAATGTATGAAGGGTAGTATAATGACACCATTTCATAGACAAGAACATCATGGCACAGAGAAGCTAAAGTACTTGGCCAAAATCTTACAGTTGATCAATGGTAGAACAATGATTCAAACCCACTGCTTGCTGACTCCAGGGTCCCATCATTCTCTTAAGCACTACACCACATTTCCTCTCCACAAAGCAATTATAGACTTAACCAAAACAGTGAGTAGTTAGTGCTTTCCTGCCTGGGGCTAATTATGGTAGCCTATTCCCTCAACTTTCAAACTTCGCCTCTCCCCTCAGAGAGCTCAAGGTGCATCTTCAGTCCAGAGATTCTAGAAGAGAGCAATGCTGTATCACCTCACTATAGAGATGCCACTTGGCCTTCTGCTGTTCAGAAGACAGGACACAGGACCCTTTCCATGTAGAAAAGGCAGCATTTTATAATATTGTAACCAATATAATATTAATAATATCATATCATATCATGTTATAGTTAAGCATGTAAGCTTGAAAGTCAAGCTGCATGTGTTCCTATCCTGCAGTTCAAAATTGACTTAATTCCCTCTCCCCATCTGTATAACAACCTCTTGGAATGTGAGTTTGCAGCTGCTTCCATCAGTAGATCTAGTCTATTTCTCCACATCTTGAATCTGAGCTGACTTGTGACTTAATTTGGTCAATAGAATGCTGTGAAAGAAATTGTGTGCCAGTTCTGAGCCTGAGTCTCAAGAAACTCTACATGCTTCAACTCATCCTTTTGGCAATCTACTCTAAAACTAAGTGATCAAGCCCAGGATACCCTGATGGGGATTGATAGCCCATGTGGCCCACTTATCCCCCTTGCCCCAGTCAACAGTTACCTTGCTGACCAGCAGATTTATAAGTAAGCCTACTCAAGACCAGATGAATCACCCAACTGAGCCCAGCCCAAGTTGCTGACCCAACCATAAAATTGTATGCTAACTAAATGGCAATTGTTTTAGGCTTCTAAGTATTAACAATTAGGATGTTTGTGTGTTACAGAGAAAAAACTAACTGATGAACTTTGGGCAAATTACTTAACTTCTCTGTGCCTCACTTCTCCATTGGATAAAGATAATAATACCTCCATGGTGGTTGTGTTATACAAAAACAATGAATCATGGATCACTACATCAAAAACTAATGATGTATTGAATGGTGACTAACATAACATAATAAAATTAAATTAAATTTTTAAAAAAAGAGTAAATGAGATCATATTTGTAAAGTACTTGGACAGATTCTGGCACAACGAAAGCTCTCCTTAAACATTGGCTATTGTCTCTCTCTCACCAAAGGATAATAGGAGTAAAGAAGTGGTTAATAAATGGATGGATGAATGGATGGGTGGATGGAAGGAAGACAAAAAGACAAGCATATAGAGCAGCAGCATGGGGAGCAGGGCCAGTGCCTACTCTCCTGATGGGCTAGAAACTAATTCTGGAGGTTCTACCCTGGCCCTCCATCCAATCCTCCTCCTGGCTTACCTTGCATAGGGTCTCACTGGGATCATGGTCTTTAGGCTTGGGTCATATCTTTCTATAAAGGATCTCCGATGGCCTCGCCGATCCAGATCTGAGATAAGGTAGGGGACTTCACCCACCATCCTGATGGCAGCCTGGAGCCCTGAGCTCTTGGCCTAGGGACACTTTCACTCTGGAGCAGAAAGATGAGGAAGGTCACTGAGAAATGAGGATACTCTGAAATGGGATCAGGCAGTCCCTACTCTACCCATACTCTACCCAGATTAGCTTCCTTGCTCCAACCCCTTAGACAGTTTCACCAATTAGCTTTCTACATTTATGGGTCAGGTGGGGGCATGGGGGGTGAGGTGTGGCCAGAAACCCTGCCACATCCCTCAACTCCACTCTGAGGTTTCCTTATTAGCAAGGACATTCAGTGCCTCTTCTTTACCATTTTGGGTTGATGGGGAGCAGAAACCCTATTGTGGATTGTCTGTTAGGAGCCAGTCTGTAGCCAACCCTGAATCCCAGACCAACAAAAGAGCTCCAGGAAGGTGTGTTTGCTGTCACACAAATTTGCTTCACACAGAGTGAAGTTTGTCACACACACCTCTTTTTCTTCCTGCTTCTTGTGCGTCCACATTGTCCCATACCCAAGGACTAGAGACCTCCAGTGGGACTACCTCTCAAGACCAGGCACATCTGGACAAGCACACATTCCTCCCCCACCCCCCCACTTCTGGGACCACTGCCCCTAAGGAAAACCAACAATCTAAGTGGAGAGAACACTTTCTGGAGTGCCTGTCCCGTCCATAAACCGACCACCCCATTCACCAATCACCTAAACCTAATGAATAGAGAATAATCCTTGAAGGTTTGCCTATTCTTGGTTTCAGTCCTTTCCTGAATGAGACCCCAGCTCTATTCTTCCCCTATGGTTCCAAACACCTCCCTCTCTATATGCAAGAGATGAATTCTCCCTTTTTATCCAGTTATCTTGAGTTGGTTTCTGTCACTTACCACCACAGGCCTCATTATTATATATATACATGGGGGTCCCATTCCCATGAATTTTCTCAGAAAGTTTTCATAGCTAGAAACATCCAATGAACCAATTCCCATCAAGGTTTTAATGACTAATAAACCAATGACAGAGTTTGAAATGTTCTCAAATTCAATCTTTTACAAACTCTTCATTATACAGAAGAGGAAACAGAGGCCCAAAGAAGGGAAAGGACTTACTCAAGAATATACGTAGAAGTGACACTGGCATCGTGGCTGAAAAAAGACAACCTTTGTTTGTGTTTCCCCTACTCCCAACAACAATTTGGCATCTATTCACCAGCAAAAGTGCCCTTCTGGGAGCTGTGGGATCCAGCACCATCTGCCAAGAAACCCAGGAGGAGTCTTGCCCACCCAGGTATCAGACAATGGACATAGAGACCTTGGTCCTGACTGTGGGCCCTGAAGTGGCCCATGAACTAACTCCAGCCCCCGTTAGCCATGGTCTAGGAGTCCCTGAAAAATATTGCCTCAGACAATCACTAAGGACAAGAGAACCTTTCCAGGTTAAGGTTACCAGTGGAGAATTTCCAGCACACCATTGGAGCAAAAAAATATATAAGCTTGGATGTATTGGAGAGGGAAAGGTTAATAGTTGACTTTATCCACACTACCACTCCCCCAAGGCAGCATAGTTTAGGGTCAGAAGAGATCTTCTCAGCCCATGATTTCTCTCACAGGGGAAAGTGAGAACTGGCTTCCAGAGCTGGCATCCAGCTGTACAGGATACTGACAAAG